TTCTTGTATAAGCTACGAGCATTGTGCAAGGGCTTAGAGAGAAAGGCTGGAGAGTCATCCTACTAGGGGATCTCAATATGTCACTGACCCGAGGGATATCTGGTGGGAATACAGAATCATTGATGTTAATAGGCTGCTGGCCGATCCTCCTAAGGGTGGTAGAATCAAGGATGCTCTCTCGAGCACGAATTGGGATACAATAATGCAAGTGATGGAGACTCGTGAGATCGTGCAGATATCACCCGACCGTTATCGTGTCAAGGTGACATCCATGTCCCGGCTTCTGTCCTATTACTCTCCCTGTCAGGTGGAGGTAGGTCACTTAGAATCCTCCATTGCTGGAGTCCATGATGTTTCCTCACCTGATGAAGGAGGGAAGACTATTTTCTTGGGCTCAGCGTCTAATTCAATACCGTCTTTACAGTCGTCTTTTAACTTCAATGCGGTGCTTCTGGAGGATGGGAGTGTTGTGAAGCCTAGGGGGTGTATCGAGGTCGATGAGCTCTTTGAGATCATCCGGAAGATTGTTGGTATCAACATTCCGCCGACTGAACAGAGGAAGGTTGCGGACCTATGGGGCATGGGCAGAGGCAGTGAAGATATCAAACGATGGCTCAATGATATGAAGGAGGTCGATGGTATGATAGACTCATTCCGATTGGCCCATCCCAGCGCCGAGGACCGGTTCACCTGTTGGGATCAGTATAGGAATCGAAGGTGGCGTAAGGGGCTGTGAGTACAGGTGATTCGATAACATCAGGTACGCCAATGCTGGATCTAGGATTGATTACATATTAGTTGATAATACTATACCAATTGAGAAGGGTGCTCCCCTGGCTATAGGTAGGATGAGTCCTTCTGTAGTGTTAATGCTCTGGATAAGCCAATTTAGGTTGTGATGCTGAGGCTGCATTGAGGTGTGCTACTGCTGATGGCTTACATGTGCCGGCTCCTCGATTTGGGGACGATAGAGGCATACCCGAGATGGACAGTGAGGTAGTAGGCTTCGTCCATTAGGAGTCTCCTATACACCTACAGGTAGCGCGGGAATGG